ACCTACTAGCGATGGCCTCCAACCTAATAGCAATGGCCTCCAGCCTAATAGCGATGGCCTCCAACCTACTAGCGATGGCCTCCAACCTACTAGCGATGGCCTCCAACCTAATAGCAATGGACTCCAACCTAGTTTAGCGATGGCCTCCAACCCTAGTAGCGATGACGGCCTCCAACCTACTAGTGATGGCATGCTGGCCATGGCCTCCAACCTAGTAGCGTTGGCCTCCAACCTGCTAACGATGGCCTCCAACCTAAGAGCGATGGCCTCCAACCTAAGAGCGATGGCCTCCAACCTAAGAGGGATGGCCTCCAACCTAAGAGCGATGGCCTCCAATCTACTAACGATGCCCTCGAGCCTAATAGCAATGGCCTCCAACCTACGAGCGATGGCCTCCAACATGGTAGCGATGGCGTCCAATCTACTAGCAATGACCTCCAACCTACTAGCGATGGCCTCCAGCCTAATAGGGATGGCCTCCAACCTACTAGCGATGGGCTCCAACCTACTAGCAATGGCCTCCAACCTACTAGCAATGGCCTCCAACCTAATAGCGATGGCCTCCAACCTAATGGCGATGGCCTCCAACCTACTAGCAATGGCCTCCAACCTAATAGCGATGGCCTCCAACCTAATGGCGATGGCCTCCAACCTACTAGCAATGGCTTCCAACCTAATAGCGATGGCCTCCAACCTAATGCCGATGGCCTCCAACCCAATAGCCATGGCCTCCGACGTAGTGAATTGAGATCTTCAATTGCTGCCCAGCCTTGCTCAGGCTGAAGCGAAGTAGCCAATTGAGCCCGGAGAGCAGCGAGGAGAGCGACAAGACTTCATCACCGGGGGGCTGTCTTTGTTCCGCCAATTGAAGTCCGCCATTAACCCACCTCAAAATGATTCCTGCAGCAGCTTACACTGGTATATATTAAATATATATATATATAGTTACAGATGTCAGAAGTATTTGAAACGTTTTTTAGAGTCAAGGTTGAAGGCTGGCGTTTCTGGGGTTATTCAGTTTTTGCATCAAACAGTATCGTACATTTTTATAGCGATAACTCCAAAGTACAGTGACACCAATGGATGTTCGAAAAGCATGCAGCCCTCTGCAGGGACCAGCTGCAAACTCATCTAGGTGGATACATAATAATTGACCGGGCTCAACAAAAATTATACATTTGATAATGTGCAGTGAATCTGCACCTATTAATGCTCAAATTCATCGCTTTATGATCGGACTTATGTTTTTCTGAGGGCGTCACCTTGTATGATAGTATCATCTCCGTCATATATATACATGTATATATCGCTATCAGGTTGGAGGCCATCCCTTCTATAGGTTGGAGGCCATTGCTTCTAGGATGAAGGCTATCGTTTCTGTTATATTCGTACTAGGAGCATGGACGCTACTAGGGGCTCCTGGCCTTAGACTTTCTCTTCCTATATATATATATATATTCGTTTGTTTGCCAGTCTCCTGTCTCCCCTGCAACTATTGGTGCGGAAGGTGATATGCATAGCCCTTAAGGTGCACACACGTCCCATGGGCAGAGTCTGGGCATAGAGAGATGTTTCGAAACTCCAAAGCCCAACAGGCCATCACGCTCATAACCAGAAAGAACTGAATTCGCAAGTGGCTGTTGCACTATGATAAGTAGTTAGCATAGTTAGCATGTGTTATTATTACCATTCAGTTTTTTCTCCTTTTCATTACTTAACAGGCTTTTCCTAGTCTCCATGGGCTCGCCTCATGTGAGTCAGGCTCAAGTACAGGGGTTTCATTACTTCTTGCTCAGCCCTTGCTTTGCAAATATGTTCTTGAAGACGAGAATCAGATCCAAAAGAAGCAACCGCCCTACCCTTAGTTCTAGTCATAGTCTTTAGTTCTGGTTCCTTTTTGTGTGTAGTGTAGCCCCGCTTCCTTCTTGGTTGATCTGCCAGATTGGCGCCTTTCCATGCTTTGCACCACCCGTTTTACTCTAATATAACCGAACAGAGGCCGATGAATTGTGAGTGACTGAGAGCCAACAACCTCGATCTAAAGGCTGCTTGCTGCGGCAAGAGCTTGTGCCCGACCAATGGTCTTGAATCTTGAGCCACTTGTGTCCGTGGCCGTTTTGTTGGTTCCATTTTTTAATGTCTCCAAAAGCGCTAGAACCAAAAACTACGCGCCGACTGGTCGCAAAACGGACCCATCATGTCCATTTTGTCCCACGCACAGTCAGCCATTCTTTGTCAGCAACGTCTAAGAAGTCTTTTGGTCGTCCAAGTGTGTTGGCATGGCACTGTTCACACGAAAGGCATCGAAAACCGTGAGCAGACCTGGACAGTCGTTCAGAGTGGCGGCAGAGAAGCCAAATCTCTTTTGGTGGGAGGAGTCCACATCAATCTGTTTTGTCGTTCTCTGGTGTTTTCTTCCCGAATGAATGCACTCGCTCTCGTACAAAACACAAGATCTCTCCACATCTCGGACTCCAAAGAGCAAGAACAGAGCACGAACATCTCAATTGCTTTTTAATTGGAGCGATTGGTCTCAGTTCAATTGCATGGTGGCTGCGTATCACTCAACAAGGACGCTGGACGCTGGCAGCTCGTGGAACTTCTGTCGGAGAAATTGGGGCAATTTCGGCCACATCTCCGGAGGAAACAGAACAGATTCGAAGCACTCTCTGCGACCATCTTGTACGGTCCAAAACATTGTCGGGGACATGAATGACATTCTTTGCGGCAACTC